TTCTCAAGCCTGGATTTTGATCAGAATCATATGGTGAACCTTAAAAGATATACATTAACCTAGTCTCACAGACTGTAATTTGGGTGTCTTCATCAATGTCTTCCATCAATGTCTTGTAATTTTTAGTCTACAGATCTTTCACCTCCTTAGTTAAATTATTCCTAAATATTTTATTATTTTTGATGGTATTGTAGATGAGATTGTTTTCTTTATTGCTTTTTCAGATAACTCATTGTTAAGGTATAGAAATGCAACTGGGTTTTGTATGTTAATTTTTTTTATCCTGCAACGTTACCGAATTCATTTTNTGTAAATGAGATTGTTTTCTTTATTGCTTTTTCAGATAACTCATTGTTAAGGTATAGAAATGCAACTGGGTTTTGTATGTTAATTTTTTATCCTGCAACTTTACCAAATTCATTTATCATCAGTTCTAATAATTTTTCAAAACTTTTTTTTGAGTCTTTAGGATTTTCTATATATAGGATCATATCATCTGTGAACAGAGAAAACTAAAGTTTTCCTTTCTGATTTTCCTTTTTTCCCCCCTTGAATGATTGCTCTGGGTAAGAATCCCAGAGCTGTACTGAGTAGGAGTGGTGAGAGCGAGCACCCTTGTCTTGTTCTTGATGTTGGGGGAAGGCTTTCAACCTTTCACCATTGAGTATGATGTTAGCGGTCAGCAGGTCATATAAGGCCCTTATTATACTGATATAATTTACTTCTCTATTGGCTTTTTAGCGATGCCTTTTTGTATTATCTTTTAGTGGCCACTTTTGACATTAACAGTGGCATCCTTATTATGATCTACTTAAAGTTAATGTTTGCCCACTTTACATTTTATTCTTTATATCTGACTTTTCCCACTTTGTAAGTGAAAAAAATGTCAAAACAGTTTAGTTCCATTTAAATATCCCATCCCTGTATTTTAAGCTACTGTTTTTTATCTTTTAATTCTTCATAAGTTATAAATTATAAATCCCATCATAGTGTTATTATTTTTTACTTTAAACTGTTATTTTAGAGGATATTATGAAAAGAAAAATATATAGTCTTTTATAGNAGTTTAGTTCCATTTAAATATCCCATCCCTGTATTTTAAGCTACTGTTTTTTATCTTTTAATTCTTCATAAGTTATAAATTATAAATCCCATCATAGTGTTATTATTTTTTACTTTAAACTGTTATTTTAGAGGATATTATGAAAAGAAAAATATGTAGTCTTTTATATTTACCCACATACTTACCATTTCTGATAACTTTTTTCTCTTCCTGTAGATCTTAATTTTTTATCTTGTATTATTTCCCTTCAACCTGAAGGACATTCTTTAGTATTTCTGGTAGTACAAATATGTTGGTGATGAATTCTCTCAGCTTTCATTTTTCTGAAAATGTCTTTATTTCATCTTAATTATAGAAGAATATTTCCCTGGATCTAGACCATATTCTGTATGCCTTCAGTCCTTTAAAATGTATTAAGATTCTAATTCGAATGCCTCACCAAAGAGAAAGCTGATGGGATACTTGCCCTGGTCAGGGGTTGGGGCAAGAACTTTGAGGAGCTAAGACTGCTGATTTCTAGAAAAGGGAAGGGTTGACATAGGCCAACAAGGGTTGACAAAACTGAGATTGATTAATAGGACCAGCGAGGGTTGATGTTGGCCAACGTGACTGACATGGGTCACAACTTCTGAATCTCATGAGCNGACATAGGCCAACAAGGGTTGACAAAACTGAGATTGATTAATAGGACCAGTGAGGGTTGACGTTGGCCAACATGACTGACATAGGTCACAACTTCTGAATCTCATGGAGTCCAGAGCTGGAAAGGACTTGAAGCTTCTGTCACTGTTCAGAGGTCAACAGTGAAGCGTGGAAAGGCAGCTTTCTCAGGTCACACAGTTCCACTCCGCCAGAAGCCTAGGCTCTGGAATCCTGTTTTCTCTCTGCCAGGACTCTTCCCTTCTGTCTCGCCTGCTTCTCCATGGAGGTCAGGCCCCGGAGTCTAACGGGCCTGCTCAGCACATTCCTGAGAGCTCATGCATGGCCCCAGCACGGCCGGAGCAGCTGTCAAGGCGAAGGTGGCTTCATCTTCTAAAGGGAAGTTCTCATTCTTCTCCCTTATCTAGGTTCAACCCACACAGGCAATGACCTTATAGCATTGCCAACCCTTGGAAAACAAGTGGCAAGAAGCACTTTTGCATATTAGGTGCCGATAACCATCCCCAACTGAGGACACCCGGATAACAGGTCTTGGACCACAAGACTTCGGGCACTTAATATTAACCACATTTCTGATCTAGCGCTTTTCCTTATTGCTGCTTAGCTTTTATTTCCACCCTCTTCTATATCACAATGTACAAGACCAGGAGCCTGACTAAGCAATGCTCCGATTGCCTTCACTGGAATTCCATCCCATGTGTTTTTTTCTTTGTATGTTCGCATGTATGATAAAGATGTTTCTCTACAATAATTTTGACCCAAAACTTTAGAGAAACTGTCTAAACATGATCATAAGATGAGATGATCATCACAGAACAATATAAGGCCCATCAGCCATGCCGCCACCCAGACACATCGCAGAACTATCTGGGGATCCTTGGGGACCTCGATGTCTGTGGACTCTAATCAGAGCCAGTTGGCTAAGGGCTGCCTTCCTCACGGCTGGATGTGTACTCAGGGAGCCACATGGGGGTTGCACCCCCAGCTAGCAGCAGAGGAAAGAGGATGCCCCTTTTATATTCATCATTAAAGTTTGGAGTCCTTCGCCTCTCCCCCAGGGAGCCCTGGGGCCACCCCAAGGCAGACCACGTGGACTTACACTACCATCTTCACAACCCAGAAACTTCGGAACCGCTCAGGACCCAACTGAGCATGTTTAGCTTTGTCTGCTGCCTCCTGGGACCCTCACTCACTGCAGGAAGAAACTCTTTTCTAGTGTGTGTGACACTCCCGGGCAGCCAATCAGCATCTTGC